ATTCTCCTGTCAAACAATCAATTGTTCAAAATACCACAAATGTTCTTTTTTTTATCTTGAACTGTACATGCAATTATACATAATTTAATTTGGGACAGAATTTTTTAAATTACACTAATCTATAAATTATATATAAAATAACATTTTTTATTATTTCAATGAATTTATTAATTCTTGGAAAAACTGATAATGAGACTGAAATAATGGCTTCAAGAACATAACCTTGCTAACAGTTTGGCTTGGTTTCCATGGTTATAAAGAGTACAACTGAGAGGCTCAAAGAATCACAATTTTCTTTGATTGGTGATTTTCAAAAAATTATGATTTAGAAAGTGACAGGGGATTTTAAAAAATAAAAAGATTTCCCTCATGAGGTATGAGGCATTAAGTATAATAATAACACATTGATGGTCGGACACAGGACAGGCCTTTGAAATTCATTGAAACCTCCCTTTTCTTCACAAAAAATTGAGTAGAGTATCTCAATTTATAACAGCATGAATCTGCAGACTAAAAATCCCTGCTCCTGATTGACTAGATTAAGTATATATATATTAGACTGTTTATAATGTACTCATAAAGATTAGCTTAAAAGCTCATTAGTTGACAAATTGTGAACAAACTAAAAAATATATCTTTTGATGTATCTCTATTGCTTTGTGGGATTTGTAGGAGAAGGAAACATGATAAAATGGAAAATGTAGTGAGAAAAGCACTAAGAATTCTGAGTCAGGATATCTCCATGGTTGCTGATGTTAGTACGAGAATATCATTTATTTGCTAGTTGCTTTTCTTTTCACTAAGTAACTATCAGAAGTTACTATCAAAAGTAATACCGAATGTGAATAACTACCTAAGCTATTTGTCAGAATCTGCATAACTACCTAAACCAGTGATGGTAAACCTTTTAGAGACCAAGTAACCAAACTACAACCCCAAATGCATTTATTTTACCGCAAAGTGCCAACACTGCAATTAAAATTGAATACTGTTGTTTTAGTTTAGAGAGAACAGCTCATACACTTGGCTTGTATGTCACCAGAAAGGGCTCTGCATGCCTGCTGTGGCAGGCAGTGCCATAGGTTCACCACCACTGACCTAAACTATTGGTCAGAATCTGAGTACCTACCTAGGGTATCCAGGATAATACCTAGCGTAAGTTGAAAATAATTTAACCCACTAAACCTAACAAATACCATTGCTTAGCAGCACAGCAGAGGTTCAGTTGTTTACTCTCATCACCACATGGCCTAAAAGGAACTGCAGTGGTTCCAGTTGTCTGCTACTATGGCCCATCATCTCAAATGAGTACAATACGCATATCATAAGCCCAGGAAAAATCATATTTTTAAAAACATTTTTGGATGCTTATCAGCTTCTCAATAAGTTAAAAATCATAACAAACTTTCATAAGTCAGAAAGAAGCTTTGCGCAGTGGCAGTATCGTAGCCAATGAGGTTTATCCGAGGCGCGATTATTGCTAATTGAAAACTTTTCTCATAAGTCAGAAAGAACTGTAACACATGATTTAAGGATCTCTTTTTATGTTTTGAATTCTGTGAGTTTAAAATGTTTTTCCCAGATATGAAATAAAGTAAAAAGATATGTAAGCAGGCTAGAAAAATTTGCACAAAGCTTTAGATAGTAATCCTCTACCTCGTGTAATAGTCTCAGAAGATGGAAAAAAAATAGTAAAAGGAAAATCAAGGGCTCTTCATTTAGATTTTCCAGAAGGAAGGATGTTTAAAGGAAGGAATAAATAATTTCTCAATTAACTGTTTCCACTTGGAAACCAAAGCAGCTGAAGATAAAGAAATGAAAAAATAACAGCAAATCCTCTCAGAAGAAAGGGAGGTAAACTGGAGGTAAAATTCACAGCTATGTGACAAAGCACTCTAAAAACAGCAACCAGGATACAACTAATAAGAAAAAAAATATTAAAGAAAAATTCCTTCATATAAAATGAGTTACAAAACAATCACCTATATTATAGGAAACTTCTTGCATAACAAGGGATAAAGAAAGACTTCTCCCACCATATAAGCAAGGAAAGAATGACATTTATGAAGTGGAAAATGCCTGTTGTCTTGAGAAATTCACATAAATGCTCAAAGACAAAAGGAGCAGGGTATACTGAGATCTGAAAGAAAATGAAAGGTAATCTAGGAATATTATTTACACCCAGCTCACAAGTCTAGCAGTATGAAGATGACAAAACTTTGATATGATGTGCCTGAATTAAGGAAACATAAGTTGATGAGCCTTTTTGGAAAACAAAACCTTAGTACAACCCATGACATGATGAAGTTTTTATTAAAAAGCTAGTATTTAAATATTGAAATATTATTAATACACATGGCTGTAGAAAATAACTTCAGAGTTACCATCATGTTCAGTATACACAGTTAGGCTCTATATGAATAGAAATAGAATCTATTCTAGGCCCAGAGAGAAAAAGAAATTAAGGAGAGAAGAAATGAAAATCTTTATATATTTAGTAGCAGACAAAAATAACTTTAAAAAGCAGAAAATCACAAATAATGTAGGAAATAAGATAGTAAAAATAAACTCATATAAACAGAAATTTAAACTAATATAAAGCAAAAGCTTAGTGAAATACAGATATTATCAGATTAGATTGTGTTTTAGTCCACTTAATGTTATTTTTTTCTCATTGAGTTTATTGGTACATTTTAGGTGTACAGTACAGTTACATTTATCATTGGGATCTTATACCTTTATATGACAGGTCTTGGCTCTCATTTTTTCCCCTTATCCCTGCCCTCCCTTCACCCCCTCCTCCCTCCCCTATTTACAAAGACTTTGTTTCTATTTTTTCCTTTTCTCATATTTTTTCTCTTCCTTTATTTTCTTTCCCCTGCCCTTTCCACTTCCCCTATACCTTTAGCCCTTTTCTTCCTGTTTCACATTGTCAGTTATACAACTTGTATCTTATTTACACTTTTAGTTTTTCACACCAAACTATTCGGTATTTACACATGTGTGTCTTATTTATTTCATTTACGAGTATGGTCTCAATATGCATCCATTTTCCTATGAATGATTCTAGTTTCTCATGCTTTCTGGCTGAGTAGTATTCCATTTTACAGAAAAACCACATCTTTATCCAGTCTCCTACTGGGGCAATTGGGCAGTTTCAAAATTTTAGCTATTACAAACTGTGTGGCTATAAACATAGGTGTGCATCTATCACTTTACTCAATGTTATTTTAATGAAATAGCTTAGGCTAGGGTATTACAAAGAAAAGAGGTTTATTTAGCTCACAGTTCAGGAATGTCAAGGGCATTGCATTGATGTCAGCTAAACTCTCCTGAAGACCTTGTGGCTTTTGGAATCACAATGTCGGTACCACGTGCATCCCATGCACGAGGAAGAGATCTTACTACTAGACCAGAAGCCAAAGTTTGTTCTTTCATCACAACTCTCTTGTGAGAACCAACAGGGTCTGGTAACCTATGTACCTTCCTTCAGGCCCTATCACCAATTAGCACTGTTAACACTACAGTCCAAACTTTCAGCACATGCACTACTGAACCACAGCGGGAGATTTTGAAAAAGCCATGTTCATTTTTCAACATTTACGGACTCATGATTGAACAGTTGCTATCATCACAAACTAGTTTAACACTATCAGGCCCACCAAGTTTACTCCTATATTGACTTAGGCTAATATGCTTGATATATATTTGCCTTGAAAAACCTTAGAGCTGTGTTACAGTGTGCCTTAAGTGACACATTAAATAATATTATTCCACACTTTTTTCAGTCAGTAAATATTTGAGTTCCTAGCTATGAGACAGGTACTATTTAGATGTTTAGGATGTATCAATAAATAATGAAGAAAATTCCTGCTTTGTAGGATCTCACATTCTTGAGAAGAAAGAGACCCAACATATAAATAAACTAAGTGTATGGTGTGTTGACAGTGATAGAGTATAATAAAAGAAGGAAAAACTGAGTAGGATAAGAAGAATCAAGGAAGCCTCTAAAAGGGCCTAAGAGAGTGTTGTATATGAGTGTTAAATAAAGTGAATAGGATAGACCTCATTTAAATGGTGGCGTTTAGCCCAAAATTTAAGAAGAAAGGATTAACTACAAGTATCTTTCACACTAGCATTCTAGAGGACGGGAACAGTTAGCAGAAAGGCCCAAAATATAAGAATCCCAGGGTTGTGGAAGGAATCCCTTTTACTCAGCAATACAATTCATCTACCCTGTAATTTCTTTTACTGTTTGCAAGCCAAGTTTAGCATTTAGAAACAAGGGACAATGTTTCATATTTAAATGTATTTAAAACACCAAAGTCAGTGAGAATTATTACTGTCTTCTTTATACAACACACTCTTTATGTTAAGCATACTTTAACTAAAGGGCTTTTTTACACTTTGTGCTTTGCATCATAATTATTTGTTAAAATATTTGTTAATAAAGCACTTTTTCAACTAGATTGCTGCTTCATCGTTCTTTCACTGAACACTTCATGAAATCAAATCACACGTCAATACCTATATTAATATTTTTTTAGGCAACAATAACATCAACAACAAGAAAAGGAATATGCACAAACTGCAGATACACATTTTGTTTTTCCACCAAACTTTAGCCTCTTGTTCAGTTAAGCACCATTCTATGTGGTTCATAGGATTCATTTCCTTCTTTTAGCCACCATTTAGCAAAGCATTTCTTCAATTGCAGTAACATTTTTTTCAATGATTTAGCTGATAGGTAATAACAGAAATAAACACTAAGCATACACTAGTAAGCATAAATTAACTCTAATGCATTTTCGCCTACTTATTGAATGCATATTTATTACAATAATTATCTCAGTTTCTTGGGAATCTTGCTCTGGGGGAATAGAATCTCAGGGAAGCTTATTTTCAGAGATGGAAATGTGAGGAAAGTGTGCTGCAGAAAACAACTGGCGTCCTCTAGCTGACACTGAACTGCAGCTGCCCTGGCCATGCACGATATGGCTGCTGTGGAGAACAGCAGTTGTGCACAGAACACTGTTGGGCTGCCGACTGCAGCTACTGAAAAGCTCCTCGCTGTATGTTGATGATACTGACCTGAAGATGAAGACAGATGTTGGGAGGGGAAGAGGACCACACTGAATAAAGCACAGGGTAAGTATTATCTGATTAGTGGTAGAAATAAAGCAATTACCAAAACGGTATAAGAAGTTCTTTCAGGGTTGTATTGCAGTCTCTGAAGATTAATGTCTTTCTTTTAATTCTCCTTCATCTTAATTAATAGCTCCAAATTATTTCTCTGTCTCTCTCTCTCATTTTAATTCTGTGTCTCTTCTTTCCTTTCTTTCATCTCTATCAAACACATGCATAAACACAACCCTGTAGGGTGCAGTTTTCTGCTTGTAATTTCTCTGCCTACCTGTCTGTTTCTCTGCCTCCCTATGTCTCTCTTGCTCTCATTCATATAAAGGAATGCATATAATATTTACATTAATGAGAACTACTCACAATATTCATTCTCTCTCTTTTAAATAGTCTTTACAGGGAAATGCCATTAGAAACTATTAAAAATTTTAATTGTTCATAGCATACCAGGTAAATCACAGAAGACAAAGATATTTTGCAAACAGATAATGCTTCAACTTCATCTTACTTGAAGAAAATTTGAAAAGAATATACATATACCAACTAAACTTTTGTTTCTGCCTTGGGCTTCACAATCTTCTGATTACAGAATACCATTTGTCCCATGAAATATTCGTGCATAGAACTCCAAATTATGTCTTTTCACATCATTTTGGTGAATGGTGACCTTCTAGATATATTTGCTCTAAAACTATGTCTATGTCTCTCAGCTTCAGGCAGATTTTACTGTGGATTCAGGAATCTTCTTTTTGGGCCTTTCAATTGATGACTTTCTTTATGTAGACAGAGGGGAGATACCAAATGTATTTCTTACTATCAACCAAGGAGGGCAATTCAGTTTATTTTGCTTATTCCTCAACAATGGATATTTCAATAAAGTAGCAGAGAGAGGAAAAATTTAACATGTACTGTATAAGTGAAAAAACTCAACAGTCAAGTGAATGTCACAGTATTGATTCTAATTAGTTTTGCTTTTCAAAGAGAAGATAAATTGTGTCATTTTATTTTCAGGTCTTACAGTTTTTTTAAAAAGAAATAGAATATTGAATCTTATGTCATGATACTCCACTAGAATATACATGCTCCCAAGAGTGGAGGCCTTACCTCTCAGTACGCTCACCAGTGCTAGGAACATATTGAAGCGAGTGTTTATCTAATAAATAAATTAATGAAGCAACATATGAAAAGAGCAGATTTGAGTAAAGAAATGCAATTGGATACAAGGTTTATTCATGCATGTAAATAAATGGCTGATGGAATCATTGAAGAAACACTTCCATTTACAATAAAATATTGAATTTTTTATATTTAATAAGGTAGCATTATTCAGGTGAATCTAGAAAAATCAATACTAATTTTATTTCTCTATATATTTGCTTTACTTCCTCTCTACATGTATTTATACATCCTGTATTATTTCACAGTGAGCTTTAATATGAGAAATTGTAAGTACAGGGATAAGACATTTGCCTTAGGCGGTGCATGATTGGATTCTTACGTGGATTCATATTTTAAAAGATTAAACCATGAGTGAAAGGTGCTGTTTTATCACTGAAAGATAGACTCTTTAGGATTTCCCATCTCTAGTAGTCTCTTTTATAGTTGGCTATTCATAAAGTTTGCTGTAATTATTATTACATGAAACACTGTAATAAGTAAGAATCGATTAAAGCATAAATGTACAACAAGGAGTAAATAGCACTCAGATTATAATATAAAGATCTCTGAATGCTGCCTCCTCATAAATTAATGTTTAAGAGCCCCCTAGTTAATTTCCTACTACACTGACCCAGTATAGTGGAAATGAGAAATTTCATACACTATTACAGGGAACTTAAATTTGTACAGTTGTGTTGGAAATCAACTTAGTGATAGCTAGTGAGGAGGAAGATCTTCATACTCCATAAACCAGGAATTTCATTTCTGGACATGCAGCTTCAAAGGACATCTACACATTTGCATGAGAAACATTGCCTTACATAAAATAGTATAGCTACCCATTAAAATGGCCAACACTTGTGTCTATTATTTTTATAAAATAGAGCAACACGAAATTTTTGAAAATAAATATGTTTTGCATTATTATGGATTTTTTAAGGAACATAATTTTAAGTGAATAAGATGTTTTAGAACTTCACCCAAAATAGTATTCTATAAATAAAGAAAAATAATTCTTTCGCTTTATGTGTATTTGCAAATATATGTATGAATGTTCATAAACTATCTGTATATATGTATATAGTTTTATGATCACATAATTTTTCTATTAGAAGCTGAAGTACAAAGCCCATAACCCTTGTGAAGTGTTCCTAGATCCAACTCTTCTAATCCTTGTTCTGCTCCAAGCCTGTAGGCTCAGATATTGCTCCACCCCATCTCTTTCCCAGGATGTTATCTGGAGCATGCTGCTGTTTTCGTTTTGGTTTGGTTTCATTTTGTTTTAATAAAGGCACCATTTCTTTTCTGTTACCATACAGATTTAAATAAACTGATAGTCTCTCCCCTACTACTGAAGGCCTGTTTTGAGGAGCATCTGTGCCATGAAAATGTAACTCAAATACTTAACCATGAAGTAATGGGTAAAATTAGGCACAATAATAAAATCATGAATGGGCAGCTGAGAAAATTTAGCTTCAGAAACAGCTGAGTTATGCTCTGTAAAAATGCCATTGCTAGAGAATAATTGTTCAGGCATTTGTGTTGCAATTTGTTTTCATTTACTTTTGCCTAGTGCTGAGCACAGGGACATCCAAGTAGCATGCTCTCGCTCTCTCTCTTTTCTTTTTTTATGGACTCTGGGTCTCCACATGTAGTTCAGGCTGGCCTTGAACTCACTGTGATCATCCTGTCAGTGCTGGGATTACAGGATTGTGCCACTGGCCACGGGTAAGAGAGAGAGAACATCCTGCAGGTATGCTCAGCAAAGCAGCAGATCAGAGGTTAGTGTGAGAAAAGTGGCCAATGAGGAGTTTCCGAGGAATGGACAAGACCACAGATTCTGTGTTCTAACATTCAAGCTTCTTGTCTTCATAGTGCAGTCCCATTGTGAAATTTTTAAACTTTCATTATCCCAATTACATCATTCCTGCCTTATATTGACTCAATTTCACAGAATGGAAGAAAGATACTAGGAAAATCTGTTTACTCCTTCAAAGGACAAACCCTGGGCCTAATAAGGTCTAGCCAGACTTTATTGGGTAGGTGACCAGGACCTCTGGACCCACCATTTCCTAAAAGAAGTCTTTTTCTTTTCCTTCACACTTGTTAGGTGACTTGTTTCCCAGTTGGATCGCTACTACCTAAATAACTATACCTGTAACCTTATTGGCTGACCATGGCTGTGGCCCACACTGTACCACACGGGTTTTGCTCTATAGAACTCGCCGATAAAGGGGGTCCCTGGCTACTGTTCAAGTTCCCTCTTGCCTCTCAGCAGCTATGCTATCAATAAATTCCTACTCTTAGCCTCAGTTGTTCCTAGAATTCATTCTTTGATTTTTAGAGAACACGCGCTCAGAGTATCAGACATCGGACAGGTTGTGAGATATAATATTTCCTATTTCATCTCCAGTATCATTTTCTGTATCAAGCGTTCTGAGGAGGCAGCTGGCAGTACATGATGAGCACCGAGTATTGTGAAGGTGAACTAGGACTGCAGTGGCAACAGCAGCAGGACAGAAGATGTGGCCGGCTGATGTGGTACGGAGCAGCACCTCCTGTCTGTGTGAGCACACAGGGTTAGGGCCCATGAGACATTTTTTAGATTAAGAAGGGTCTCTAAGACTCCTTTTGAGAAAGCCTAAAAACAGAAAGGAACAGAGAGAAGAGAGGCCTCAGGAAAGCAAATGCTAAGCCTTTAAAATTACAAAATAAAATTTAAAAAAGCAGTGTTGGGGCTGTCTGTAGCAGGGCAGAAAAGAAGAACGCGCAAAGTAGAAATGTGCAACAACTACACCTGCCCACCGTCATTACCAGGTGGCCTGGAAAGTCTCCATGTGTCATCCCATGGCCACGTCTAGGTACAGGAGTGATCTACCTTCTATAGGGAAAATGTTTCCTTTACTTAGATTTTTATTTTAACTTCAAAGTTGGATGGCACTCTGCAGAACTGTCAAAATGAAGTTGTCAGTTATGAAGACAACTTAAAATATCTTGCTTGATAGATAAGCAATTTAGTGCTGTGTATTAAACTTTTTGCAAATACCTGAGGAAAACAGTAAGAATTTTGGGGGGGATACCAGGGACTGAACTCGGGACCTTGCGCTTGTGAGACAAGCAGCGAAACCACTGAGCTAAATCCCCAGCCCCTACAGTAAGAAATTTAATTTAAAAATACAAATTGTGTGTTCATATCTTTTCCACATGATGACTTAGGTGATTCCAGCTCAAACTTTTAAAACTCTCTTTTGCAAATAAATACAAGCTTTTGACAATTTATCATTTATGAGACAGATTTAGTTTTTCATTGCTGGATTAAGGCCACTTAACTATTTTTACAAGCAGACAGTGTCACTGATAACACAATATGGCCTGCAAGTCCAACCTCTGCAAAACAATCCATCCAGGGCAACTGACATAGTTAGCAAAATTTCCAGTGGCAGCTACATTTAGAAATTCCAGAGGACTAGTCAAGGATATGATGAATTTTTTTTTTTTTACTACTCAATGCAGCTAAATATTTGTATGACTTTTTAATGTTCAGGAGATTACTGAATGTTTGTTTCCCAATTCCTCTGATTAATTAAATTTCATTTAAAATGAACATACAGGTTTATTTATATGGAAAAGGAGTGTGGAATAAATTATCTTTCTGGTTTGTTTTTGTTTTTTTCAGGAAAGAGTATAGAACTTTCAAGAGAAAAAAACAATAATTATTTTCAAATATTTTCAACATGTAAAGAAATGTATTTACTACTGCGACAATCTTACATATTACAGGATTTTAGTCAGAGCTTCTGGCACAGAAGACTTTGAGATATTAAAAACAAACTGTTTCCAGTGTAAGGATGAATACAAGCATGTATTTTCCGAGACATATAAAATAACCAAGTGCAAATAAAATCCTTAAAATAAGTATTATATGCTTTGCTTTCTGGCTCATGTTATTTTTAAATAGTTCCTTCGGCCACCAAGTGACAGGATGGGTTCCTATTAGTGTTTACCTCTGGTGACAACTTCATCTCCCCCTGTTGTCCAAACAGATGAAATCCAGCGCTCCAGAGGAAGTGAGGCACTGTTATTTGTAAGCTGGCATGAGACGAGGCAAGCAGACACCTTCTGAAGTTTTATGCATGCTGTTTTCTCTCTGTGCTGCAGCAAGAAAAGCCTTTTCTTTTAACCTGGTTGCCTTTGAAGAAGTGACTCCGACATCTTCATGGCCTCTAAAGGTAAGAAAAATTCTAGCCAGTTAATAAATGTTACCTTAAATTATGAGCAAAAGTATATAGTTGTTGAGCAGTTATAATCAGTGACATTAATAATTTAAAAGCTACCATGTATTTCTTTTGAACACTGGAATTTAAATTTTTTAACTCTAAGGAGAATGTTGCATTAATAAACTCCCTCTCTCTGTCTCTCTCTCTCTCTCTCTCTCTCTCTCTCTCTCTGTCTCTCTCTCTCTCCCACTCTCAGAGAATATATAATTTCAGATGTAAAAATAAACTACTTTAGTTGTCATGGATATAAACCTAGTACATTAATAATAAAAAGCTGTATAGACAAATAAGAGTGGTAATATTTAATGTCAAACAAAAGGACAAAATTACAATTTTAAAGAGATCTAAAGAAACTTTTCAGATTTAAATTTGAAAGTATTAAAGAATAATCCAAATGACTTATTTTTTCATCCATTATTTAAACTGCTATAACATCAATCAGTTATAAATAATACAACATATTTAATGTTAGACCTTAAATCTGAAGGATTAGAAATAACTGTTCTAGGGGTGGGGATTTAGCTCAGCGGTTCAGTGGCCTGCCTTGCAAGTGCAAGGACCCAAGTTCAATCCCCAGTACCAAAAAAAAGAAAAAAGAAATGCGTTCTAGCTGATCAATACAAAATCTTTCAAAATTTTTTGGTAGTAAATTAAATATAAGAATTCAAACAGAAAATATCGATTTAAGCAAGCAGATCAGCTGGGGACAGGAACTTGATAAGATCTTTCCTAAATCCCTAATACTAAGAAAATATCATCTCTGCTCTCTTAATTTAAAGAAATTATCAAAAGGTAAGAAGTGTACTTTTTAAGCATAAGAAGTTGCATTTTCACTAAAAATACTTGTGAAATTTGCAGAAGAATGAAATTATAGCATGCTGCTATTCCATTATCAGACCCATTAAACACTAGAGTATAATGAAAAGTTTGATATAAAAATTATGATTTGCATAATTAGCAAAACTATTTAATCTAATTACTAGAGGATGATTTCAAAAATTTACATTATCCTACAAAAAAAAAAAAATGGCCGGGGATTTACCTCAGTGGTTCGGTGACCTGCCTTGCAAGCACAAGGACCCAAGTTCAATCCCCGGTACCAAAACAATAAAAAAATTTAAGATTTTTTTTTAATTTACATTATTCTAAATTAAATTGATGAGCCATTCAAATAATTCTTTCATTCATCAAAACATACTTTAAACACTATTTACTATTAAACAAATGAGGTAATCTTTTGATTTTTCATCGACATTTAATGTGGCTGAGTCTCTGGAAAATCTTACAGATTTGATATATACAAGAAACAACAAAATCACAAATGTTAAGATGTTTACATTTTACACTTGATGACAAACAAAAATCTTGACTAGTATTTTCTTTCATTTATCTGCATTAACACTTAGTCCAAAATGCTTCATGACTTCATAAGAGTTACAGAAACACAGTAGCCTGTAAGGTAAAGAGTTGCAGAGTGTGTAAAATATTTATAAGCTAGTTATACATTTTTAAAAGAGTAGATAGAAATTCAAAGCCAGATAGAAATTCAAAGGAGTTCCTTCTTCATCTGGTGGTCTGGGTCTCTGAAGAAACTTGTGACTAGAAAGCAATATTATCATCAAACTATGATTAATCTTCCAAAAAGGCAGTGATATTCAGTAACGATGAGACCTTAAGACTAAAATTAGAGGCAAAACTTTAGGTGGAAAATTAACACTTCTTCTCAGACCTACTCAAAATGCTTAACATGTGCTGTTCATAAAATGTCTGTTACAGATCTTATGCTCTTTAAAAGAGTTGAAGTGACAGTGTTGCTACCTTTGGAATTAGCATTCTTGTTTGAGAAGATAAGTCTAATTGTCATCGTTATTACCTGAAACATTTTCAGTATAGTTTCTTCGAGTATATTCAAAGGCATCACTTATAACTTTCTGATGTTGTTTAGCCCATTGAAACTGTATTGTCAGTTAACACATTCCCAGATTTAAAAGATACAGTAAAATTCCCCTTCCACAAAGTTTCATGAATTGTGTGTTATGGTTTAAGCAAAATCACTGTAATCTAAATCAGGCGTGGTGGCACATGTCTATAATCCCAGCACTCAGAAGGCTGAGGCAGGAGGATCACTGTGAGTTCACAACCAGCCTGGGCTACATAGTCAGTCTCAACTACATAGTGAGATCCTGTCTCAAAAACCGAAAACCCACTGTAATCTATTGTTAATGATGTATGTGTCAGTCCAATCTTAGTATATGTGTAATGAGAGTATACAATCAAATATTTGTGTAGCTGTTATAAATTTCATCTTTCTGTGACTCTAGATCCAGTTTACTTGTCTCTCCAATTCATGTGTCTTTGGAAAAGATTGAATTATAGTCAAGCATCATATACTAGCATTGTAGGCAACAATATACCCCAAGTATTATGGTGATCCTATATCATACACAGCTAAAAACATACACACACTTAAGTCATTACTTCAGTCAAATTATTTAGCTTTTTCTCAAATTACTACCAATAGTCTTCAGCATTTATTTTTCTCCGAATTAAGGATCAATGATGTGGCAATGAGTTTTACAAGTAAAGGAAAAGGCCCTGAAATAAGAGGTAGAAGAAGATAGTCTACCATCTAAATTAAGAATTGACATACTTGTCAAGAAGGATTATATGAAATTGCTTAAATTTAACAATGTGTTCAGATTTTCGTTCTCTTGCAGATACACAGAACCAAAAAGGTAGAGGGCTACCTCATTTTCTTCCTGGAGTTCCAGACCCAGGCCGAAGTCATATTATCTCTTGTTCCAGTCCAGGAAACCAAACCCGGCAGCCAAGACCCCATCCACCAAGCAGGTTCCTGTCCACAGTCAGTGTCCCTCCTGGTCTAGAGTATTTAAGCCAGGTGTTTATACCTTTTTATTTCCATAAAAGTTTTCCCCTTAAAGTGAATGCAAACTCAGTTTCTTGTTTTGCAGCCAATGTTGAAGGATTTCAACAATTTACCAGAGCAAGAAAGACTTTATAAATCATGAAATTTAAAACTATTGATTTTATTTAGGAAGAATCTGTTTTCTTTTATTGCTAATTTTATCTTCCTCATTTAATTGACGGAGTGATGAAACTAAATATTTTTGATAGAGCTATTGAGCACAGTTATCTACCTTCTGTTTAGGTGCTGTTGGCAAACTTACCCTCAAGGAATTGTCTAACATGTCTTAGTCACCTACAGCTATTTAGTTAAGAATATTTACTTTGTACTTGCTATACTGAAAGGATATAAAAAGCATGAAATATAGCCTCTCTCTCCCAAACTTCTTGCAACCTAGTTGGAAAAATAAAAATTGTTTAATAAAGGTGAAAGGATTTGTACAAAAGCCAGGATGCTATATGTAGTGGGACATATCTGCAATCTCAACATCTTGGAAGACACAGACCAGAGGATCAAAAGGTCGCAAGTTGGATATCAAGCTAGGCAACGTAGCAAGACCCCATCTCAAACTAAAATTTTAAAAATGGCTCAGGACATAGCCTCATATGCTAAAGTGCTTGCCTAGTATGTGAGAGGCCAAGGTTCCAGTCTTCTCTCCCTCTAACAAATCCAAGTAAGCACAAATTCTAATATATACACGTATATGGAGAAAAGATTGTTAAAGCCCTAAAACACTCAGGCAGACTTTTACAGTGATCTGAGAGTTCAATCATATCTCTAAAGGAAGGTGAAAGTAAGTTAACAACATTATTGTCTTCTGATACTAGTGCATCTTCTGGTCAATTTTCCTAAAGGAAAATTGCTACTAGGTGCAGTAACTGTTCTAGTCATTGCAGAGTAAGAGGTAGTTCAAGCCTTGTAATAATTCAGTTAACAGAGGCAACCCACTTTCCAGACTCCCTTCTGTCTCTCTTAGACAGAAACTTTCTTTCTCCCAATAAATTCTTCCTTTTTTAATTTGTTCTACAAAGATTGGAAATGTGCTTACACTAATATTGAGATGTCAGCACATCTGCTGCAATTTTCAGCTAGTTTGGCATTCTTTCAAACTATAAAATCTATCTCCTTTATCAAAATCAAATCTCTGTGTTAATTCCCTTAAGGTACAAGAGATTTCTGTTATGCCTGATAGGGTTTAAACTGCATGCAGCATATGTTCCCGGGAAAATGTTTATAATTGCAGATGCCTTCTACAGAAACCCACTGGCAGACAAATATACTTTAGAGACTGGCTAGCTCAGGGAGATATGTAAAAGAGCTGGAAACGCTAACCTACTGTCTTCCATCTGCAGGAAGGATCAGCTGTAATAGCTGACTAGAGTTGATTAACTGCTGCAAGCTGTTTGGGAATGTTGTCAGACAAGGTTTTGCCGAGTATAAAAGTGATATACCAGTGCCAGAGGGCTGAGGTTTGATGATCACATATGGTCATCCCATATTCTTCTTCCATCCATGAATGATGACACACCCAGAGCCAGATGCTTGACAGGAATACTTTTTTTTTAAACACCCAGTAAATAGAAATATGAACAAATTGGATTCAATGAAAAATTTAGTATATTTTACAAAAATAGGCTTTCCCAAATCTTCCAAAAATAAAATGTGCCACAAATTGTTGAACATTTTCCTTCTAAGAGAAATAACTTAGTCACTTTATGCAAAAAGAGCATTTATTTAGTTTGAAGCAGTGTACATATAAAAATGAGCATTTCTAAAATGTTATACCGAGTCTTTAAATAAATTGTTAATGTTAACTTTGAACCAAAAATTAAATTAAATTATAAACATTTGGAAATAATACATTCTACAATAAGTACACATGAAATTATACAGTAAAAATCTTACTATATAAAAAGTTAGGCAATTATTTAAAATTTTACTTCATTATGTAGAAGTCTACCAATGACTAATTTGAAAATAAATATACACAGATATAATGTAAATTAAATCTAAGGCTAAAAATAGAATCTTTTTAGATTGAATTGACATACTCAATAACACTTTATCTTATAATAGGAATATAGAAAACTATAATAACTAATTATAACTAATGATAATTATGCTATAATGAATCATTAAAATTTAGTCACCTATAGGAATGAGAAGTTAAAGTCACAGGTAAATATTTAAATTATTTTGAAATATTTACAGTATTAATGGAATCAATGATACCCATAAACCAGATTTTTAAAAAAGGATTCTTAAGCTATATATCCAAGGCTGTCATTGTATTTTCATTTCTACAGCTTTCATGCTTAAGAAGTACTTTATTTCCCCTGACATCTGAATATATAATTCAATCTATTTAAAATTTCCATCAATTCCTAGTCCATCAACCAATAGAAAAGAATAGCAGCTGGGGATTTGGCTCAGGGGTTCCATTGCCTGCCTCATAAGCGCAAGGGCCCCAGTTTGATCCCTGGTGCAAACAAACAAACAAAAAAAAAGAGGATGGAAAGGGTTCATTTGGATAATGTTTTAATGGTTTGTAAGTGGTTCAGGGCTACTTAAAGGAAACTACGAAAACAACAAAAATCAAAAACCTCAAATCCAGGAGACTTGCCCACAAAGATAAATCATATCCAATCTTATTATAGAATATAACATAAGTATTAAAGAAAATAGGAAATAAAGGCATTCACACTTCATAGTGTCACTTAAATCATTTCATTTAATTCTCAAGTTTAATAAAGTCAGTAACATGACAATTTAGAAATAACATCAGAACTGGTTGCGATTTACCTGCTTTATAACCTTGGTAGATTCCTTAATCTCTCTAGGAATGTATCCGTACATGTGAAATTAATATTCACCCCTCTGAATTTTTGTGAGGATTATACCAGACATTGTGTTCAAATATGCAGCGCAGTGATGGTAGTCACTTGATGAACAGCTATTTTTTAACATTAGAGAGGTAAAACTTCTCTTTTCATTGTTGAGAAGAGATCAGTTAATAATTTCAAAATTTTAAGGCTAAAATTAGTTCTGTAACATCAGTATTTGGAGCTCCTAACCTCAAATGTCACAGTCTTGACTCCCTATGTCTCCATTTCTAAGTTACTTCTATAGAGACTACTGCTAAATAATCATGTGAGCTTCTGTGAGTCTCGGCTCTTTTTTACGTACAACCCTCCATGTCCTCAAAAGAGATCAGAACTAAAGCCATACACTGTGAAAGTCTTATTCTAATTTTTAAAAAGTGTTTTGTCGTAATTGTGAATATAGATTTAGCATATCTCAGATCAAATATCTAAAAATTGTGAAGAAAAATTTGTGAATCTGAATAAAAAGAGATGACATGTACTCTTTTATAAATACTAACGTTTTAAAAAGAGGAAATAATATTAGTCTTACCCTTATATCAATATATTCAAAGAGAATGAGGGAAATAATGTAGCTTTAAGTTTTATGTGTTTGTGGTATCCAATCAATATGAAATTTTAGTAATGATTTGCTCAGTTTAACAATTCCTAATGAGTTTATTAATATAGAGAATAAAGTGAATGAAATTTTAAGTTGAAATAAAAAGTGAAGCATTAGAAATATCAACAGTTGTAGCAGTGTTCAGGATTTTACTTTAGTGGATCTTCAAGTAGTGAAGATCACATTCCAAATATACACAAAGAAATAAAGCATTGTTTCTCTGGTATGCGAAACAGAAAGTGTAAATAAAGGCCAAAATGTATAATAGATATTGGGATATAGGAAAAAAATGTTCAAATTAGAAGGGGCACAGGAGAGGTGGAAAGGGAAGGAAGGGAGAAGGAAAAATTAGAAAAGAAAGATGAAATGAAATCAAACTTTTTGTAAATAAAGAGGGGAAGAAGGGTTGAAGGGTGGGGAGGGGAATGAGAGAAAAATAAGAATCAAGATGAATCATGTACGGATGCAAATTCCCTATGATGCACGTGATAATTTTGTATGCCTACATTGGAGTAATAAACTTAATCAATTTTAAAAAACAAAATATACACAAAGTTAGTCTAAGAGCACATGATTTATATTTCCTTTTAAAAAATCAATTTGCATTGCATATTTTCATAGTCATTTTGGACTATCTATAGACACTTAATCTCTGCAAAGCAATCTTATTTTCAATTACAGAAGATAAATGTCACATACTCAGTAGCAGAACTCTTATTTGGTTTATACTGATACTTTGTTGGCATCTATAGATTTGTTTTCTAGCCCAAAGGAAGGCGTGACTGAGAAATATTTTTTAAATAAACCTTTTCAGTTTTTATCAAAACTGTTTGAACACTGAGAGGAACGAGTTACAGGCTTGCAGATTGACACTGAGTTAGGGAATATGGAGGGTGGCCAGACATTCATTCAAAACAATATTAGATTTCATTTCTTTAAAAATAAATTGTGGGAAATTTGAAAACATCTAGGCTTGTTCCCTTTGCCTCTCCCCCGCCCCCCACCATTTTCACACACAAAGAAACACAAAGTTAACCACAGACATTATCCCTTACAATTCTACCTTGGAATTTTAAAAAATTAATGCACATTTTTACTTGAGTAAAACACATTTTATCCTTGCTTGCATCATAAAGTATAAGGCTTTTCAAACAGTTTAGGAGAGAACATGGCAATGATCTAATTTAATATAGCATCAGAAGTATGTTTACGGCAATATCTCCAAGGGTTTATGATGTACTGTGATTTAATACTTTTTACTTTCTTTATGTCATCCTCTAACAGTTAGACCTGATAATTATACATCAGCAGGTGGAGCTTCTTGAAAGTAAGTATGTTATATTCTGCATTTATAAAAACTGTTAGAAATGTTTTAGTTTTCTGAAGTTTCTTCACTTCTAAATATATTATAAAATAATGTTAAATGTGTAAAGTTAGATCAAAAAGAACACTTGACTTACTTATTAATAAAAGCTGAAAATAAAATAATTAGTATGATTTAAATAAAACTAAAAATACGGAACTGTCTTTGGTGATATTGCACGTAAAATTCTAAAATTATATTTGTCCCTGGGCCCAGGATTTAGCTCAGTGGTGCTACTACCTTCCTCACAAGTGCAAGGTCCTGAATTCAACCCCCAATAACAAAATAAATAATTAATTAATTAATTAAAATTATATTTGTTCCTAAAATAACTGAAGGTACTTGATCATTCTCATGGACGTTAGTATTTAAATTTCTTAACAGTTCTAGAAATCAGAGATGAGATTAACAAAAACTCATTCAAACAAAATGCCACTGTTTTATCATTTTATCAGTGATTAACCAAATAGGTATTATTTCATGACTGTAAATTGTATCAATAACTTGCATAACAATGAGTCATAGATTCTTCTTTGTGGTATTAGTTCTTTAGTTGAATGATATTATATTTTTGGTCATATTTCTGAATCAAAATGAATTTATTATATAGCGTTATTTCAAGAGTTTACTGAATTTTTATGGCTAACTCCTCAAAACATAAAGCATGAAAGTATACATACATACATACATGTATATATATATATATATATATATATATACACACACATATAGAACACAAATCATTGATTTTTGTTACTCTATTTTCATGACTAACACCTCCCCTTTACTTAAGTGTTGATACTAGCCAATGCATTGTTTCGTAAAATGTTCTTTCTCTGTTAGTGATTCTTGGCACTGAGACCACCAACAAATATGAGATCAAAAACAGCTTGGGACAAAGAATTTACTTTGCAGTGGAGGAAAGCATCTGTTTTAATCGAACATTCTGTTCCACACTGCGATCCTGCACCCTGAAGATCACAGACAACTCAGGTCGAGAGGTGATTACAGTAAACCGGCCCTTAAAGTGTAACAGCTGCTGGTGCCCTTGTTACCTACAAGAGGTGAGTTGTTGGCTCTGAGTGTCTTTTATTATTATTTTTAAGATTAGCCATTATTTCTTTAAGATTTTTGTCTGAAGCTATGAAGCAATTAATTTTTCAATTGTTTGAATATCAGAACAGCTGGAGGATCTGGTGAGTCACTAAAATGTCTTCCTTTCAACCAAAAACTGTTGTAGCTTCTGTGATGCTATTTGACGAAGACAGCTCATGCATCATGTAAATGAGACACATCATCTTCAAGCTTCATATTAACCACAGAGTTGTAATGTCTGCAAGTTCCACCATTCAGCAAAACTACCCCTGGCTTCCCTAACAGTAGCACAGTCCAAGCAGTGGTAATGATGCTAAACTCCTCTTCATCAGGTGTTTCTGTTTTGTTTTGTTGTTGTTGTTGTTGTTGTTGTTGTTTGTGGGTACCGGGGATCAAACTCTGGACCTTGCACTTGTGAGGCAGGAGGCAGAACCACTGAGCTAAATCCCCGGCCCCATCAGGTGTTAAGAATAACATAGGATTTCACACTCCACCTGCCCATTTATGACAAACTCTAGGTAGAGATTAGCAAAGGCAGTGTTATTGCTCTAGAGACAATAATAAATTATCTTATTTTAAAATAGATTTTCATCATTATGTAAGAGAGGTGACAATAATTTTCATGAATGTAAGCAATTATGTAATTAAATTGACACAGAACTTTTACTTGTCTTGCTCACTTTGATATGACATCTCTGAGATAGAAAGCTGGTATTCCAATCCACATCTTGCAATCAAGGCAACCAGAAGAGGTGGTTTTCCTATGATAACACATTCAGAAAATGCCATTGATGAAACTTGATCTAGATGTCCCAATTTAACCCCAAGCTTCTCTGTAGAAGATCTGTGTATAAATGATGTCCTTAGGACATGATAATAAATATTAATATCAAGGCTGATTGTATGAGGAAGCTTCTCACAATATCTATTGAAGTTAATTCTCTATTTATAGGTAAGCACTTGATTAACTGATGAAATGGCTCAAGAACTCAGTCATGAAGCCTAAGGATTTTTCATCCTCCTACTGAGCATATATGTAAGATTAACATACTCTGAGATAGTGTCATCAATAATAATAAGTACACATCCATTTCTTAATTTCTGGTAATCAATATTTTATATCTACATAGTATCCTAGTGTCATATAAAGAAAAACATGAGATTTATCTTGATCTTGATAGCCACTAATTTTTTAATCTCTTAAACCAATTTCCTTAGAAATCTCAGGACAAATACATGTAATTCTAAGCAATCACGTAAACTCACTTCTGTTCATCCAAGTGCACTACAGATATGAACATATGACTGTGAACTTGATAATAAAAGCGAAAAGAAGCTTAGATGCTGAGGATCTATTTTAGTTTAAAAACAAACACTTGCTTGATTATATTACTAAATGATTTAACTTGGCTTATATGAATATTTAAGTAATAGGGTCAAATACTAAACTCGTGCCTACAAGTGAAAAAATGAAAACTTCTAGTTTTAATACTTTAAAAGATGTGAACCAACAATCTAATTGGTGTTTGCTTAATAACTGTAACTCTGTAAGAAGAATTTCTAATTAAATACAAAGACTCTGAAAGTTGACAACCTGAAGAGAAAAAGACGGAACATTTAATAAATGGTAAAAGGGGCTTAAATAGATAGATGTAAGTGTTGGTTGCATCTTCAAGGAAGTATCATGAGTTACCGCGTCGGGGTAGCTGTACTTGACCAAGGTTGTACTTGGAATGATATGGCAGAGAAGCTAGTTGTAGTGTCCCAGGGGCACATGATAGTCCTGAGGCAGTTCTCATAAAGGAAGTGGAAAATAAATTCTTATGCATAATGCAAGACATTATCTGAACAGTATATTTGTATCTCTAACACAGGTGGTATATAAATGTAAAAACAACAGTGCTTTATAATTGCTGGAAGTAGATATTTAGAATAACTTATACAAACCCGATGGGGTACCGTTTGGAGGTAGATTTTCACTATAATGCAAGTAAATATATAATATCCTTAGAAAATCTTGTTTTATTTTTGTCTCATTTTTCAGTTAGAAATACAAGCCCCTCCTGGTACTATAGTTGCTTATGTTGCACAGAAGTGGGACCCCTTTCAGCCTAAATTCACAATTCGAAATGCAAACAAAGAAGATGTTTTGAAAATTGTTGGTCCTTGCACAACATGTGGCTGTTTTGGCGATGTGGATTTTGAGGTATGATTGACAAAATGAAGAAAGTTGTCATTTAGGTTTTAATTTTTTTTTTTGCAACATAACTCAATTTTTACAAAATTCAAAATATCCCTTAAGTAAGTTTAGAAAATAATAGTAAAATAATCAAGTAAGCTCATTTTTTTATTTTTGTACTCATAAAATAAATTTATAATTCCAGATGTTCAGTTCAAGAATTTAAAAATATAGTATCAAAATTTACCATCTTGGCCATTGTATCTGTTATAGACACCTTGGCAAGATATCTGCTGTAGACTGCAAGTTTTATTCAAAGTCAATTTTTAAAAATCAAAAGTAATGACAGCTATCAAAACATGTTTTTTCTCAAAAATATATTTAGTTAACTACAATGGATAAAACTATAGTTTCTTACTTAAAATAGAAAATGTCTCATTATTTTAAAATCTAAGTCTTTGAAAGCCAAAATTTTCATGTACATATAGTTTTGGCTTTTTCAGATAACCAAAACATTTTTTTTCCAAAACTAGTGGTTTCTAATGGCTTAATTTAATGATGATAAATTAACATTGTAAAAAGAAAATGTATTTGTATAGTTGAGATCATCAAATTATGTATTTTATTTCCAGTAAACCGGGTGGTCACATAGTCTACTCCAGATCTCATTTCAGAAGTACACTCTATTAAAATATTACTAATTTAAAAAGCTATATTTGTAAGATTTGCCAAATTTGTTTTGTAAAACAATCCACTCAGTTTTCTATAACTGAATATTAAAATAAATAATTGCCATTTCAGCCTGCAATAATATAAAGTATCTTAACAGATTTCCCTAGACATAAATTTTAGGCAGAAGAGAGCCTAATTTAAAGCAAACATTTACTTCTCACTCATTAATTTATATATATATTTATCCCACCTAGGACATTCCACCGTCAACACTTCAAGGAAAATAATTTACATAGAATAAATTACAAATTTTGCAATGTTACATGTACTGATAGCAACTACTCTAAAAGAATTTGGCATAATATTTTAAGAGAAATATGATTAAGTAAAACTTAACCTTAAAAGTTTTAATGTTTATGATATTGAAATGTTCTAAATTACTTTCTCCAATTTCTTTTCTTTAACACTGCATGAAAAGTTAAAATTTAAATGACTGTCATCATTATAATGGGAAACTGGGCAATGAAATGCTCAGTTGATAAAACTCCTGAAAAAAGACTGACAGACTGTCATGTCAGATTGGTCTGATTTCCTGTAGCGTCCATTAGCTCAGAACATTTTTTAACGTCAAAATAGAACTAAAGCTTAGAAAGAAATGACTTGAGAAATGTCTTCAGTATAACATAAAAATGTGTTTTAACAATGTGTGATATTGCTTAATGATTTAATAATTATAAAGTATTAGTTGATATATACATAACTGGAGAATTCAGTTTTAAAATCTAGATCCCAAGTAAAGGAATTCTTTCTTGCTTAGACTGTATAATTGAACTGTGTACCTACCGCCATCTTGTGGTTGCCTGGACTTAATTATTTATTGTCATTACATTCTCAATCTGCATACGAGAGCGGAGAGGTGGGGGGAGGGAGGCAGAGAGAGGGATAGAGAGAGAGAGGAAAAAGGAGGGTTTGTGGTGGGTTAGAAAACTGCCATAGAATCGTAATTCTTGGAGAGTGAACTGGAAAGTTAAATTTACACTTATTCTTAAAGAGAAGAGTAATGTGGAATTGTTAGTGATGATGAATAAAATAACTCATTTCTCTTGTGAGTTAAACATACCAATAAATGTACAACCATCTCTTTTTACCTTCAGATTTAACAGCTCTTGTTTTCATTTCAAAGGTGAAAACCATTAATGAAAAGCTCACAGTTGGGAAGATTTCAAAGTACTGGTCTGGATTTGTAAATAATGTTTTCACAAATGCTGACAATTTTGGAATCCATGTTCCAGCAGATCTCGATGTAACAGTTAAAGCAGCAATGATTGGTACTTGTTTTCTCTTTGTAAGTATTGTCTTAGTGAGTATGAGTGACTTTTCTACTTCTCATTTGTCAGTTGCTATACAGCTATTCCCAGTATGGATCTGATTTTTGACCCACAGAGCACATTTTATGCATAGAAGGCTAGTTTAGGACCTATCTGTTTCTGTTTCTATTCTTCAGAAATAAGAATTTAGAAATCTCCCAGGCATAGTGAAAAATGCCTGTAATCTCATCACTCTGGGGGTCTGAGGCAGTAGGACTGTATGTTTGAGAACAGGCTTGGCAATTTAGTAAATCATCATAACCCTATCTCAAGAAAAAAATAAGAAAGAGTTTAGGCTCATTGCAAAAACCCTGGACACCAACCCAAGTACTGCAAAAAACAAAACCAAAGCCCTCTACATTTCTAATAGGCAGCCCTTTTCAAGGACTGAGGCCCCATAACATCCTTCTCATTATTTTCTCTAAAACTGAGTTTTGCTTCCCTTTCACTGTCAATGTAGGTTTGGAGCATAGTGACACTTTAACTGAAAAATATTTAAATGTTAATATTCATGATTCATCTTGAGTAAAGATCAGGGCTACTTAATTGCTTAATGGTGAGCCAGGTTACATTCAGAATATGAAGAATTAACTTTCTTGTCCTTCCAGTCTGAATAGTGATACATTAGATATCACAGATAAGTTAATACCTTCCGGTTGCCATTTTTACAAAGACATATCCTGTCCTTTCTTTCCAACTTATAATTTTGTTCAGAACATCTTTTGGTATCTGGAGACTGGTGAAAAAGTAAAAAAAAAAAAATGTGTAAAAACGCTTGGCTATCTCCTAGTTCGAATCCCCCCAACATTTCTTTTTAAATGCATTCACAAAAACTTGTGTAATTATTAAATAATTACGCATTCTCCCTCATATTTTACTCTTCAGGGTTCCAGGGTCTTAAGCCTTACAGTTATATTGATGGGTTCTGCTGTTGAACACTCAGACCTGCTGACTGAGTCCCCTCTAAAGACTCAGTGGAAAAATATTATTAACTGAAAAGAATGCCCTAATCATTTCACTGATGAACATTCAGAGTTCAGTACAGAAATAGAGACCTGCACCTACTATAATGATTTCTTCAGGGCTAAGAAGAATTAGCCTAGCTTCCTGATTCCCTATCATTGGTAAAAGGTAAAATTAATATGTGAATGTTAAAAAGTGCTATATTTTTATACTTATTATTTACTCAGCTCAATTTTATTGTCATTTATAAATAAAACCAATTTACAAATAAAACCAGTCACCCTTACCTGTCAACTAATATTTGTTCTCTTTCTCATTTTCTCTATCCATTTCTCTATCCATAATTTAATTTATCACTTCCTGATTACTCTCCCCACTTTTGATCATTCTGCACTTCAACCAACCTCTCCAAATACACACACACACACACACACACACACACACACACACACACAGCCCTTTTCCAAGACCTTCATTAGAACTTTCTGGTTAATGCTCACATATAATTTTCATATTAAAAATTACACGGGCATAGTGGTGCATGTCTGTAATCCCAGCACTTATTAGAATCACTGAGAATTTGAAGACAACCTGGACTACAGAATGAGTTCAAGGCCAGCCTGAGCTACAGGGAGACCTTGTCTCAAAACAAAAGAAATTGTCAAAAACAGATCATCTACTGTGATCTACTCACCTACTTTTTGTAAAAGTTTGATGACAAACATATGCTCTCAAAAACAGTACTACATTTGCTGTGTCTCAAACCTTATTTATTTTTCTTTAGTAGTTTTTTTGTTTTTGTTTTTGATTTGTTTTGTTTTTGTTTTTGAGACAGGGTCTCATTATATAGTTGAGACTGACCTGGAACTCACTGTGTAGCCCAGGCTCGTCTCAAACTCACAGTGATCATCCTGCCTCAGCCTCCCAAGTGTTGGGATTACAGGCATGAGCCACCACACCCAATTCTTTAGTAGTAAATTTTAAGATTTACTAAATTTACTGACTTTCCAGAAGATTTCTAAATATGGATTCTCCTGAGCAAGTATATTTCCCTGTTTTTCATTTGTAATCACTGAAAGATTGACAAATGTTATGTCTAATAAATGTTGATTTAGGTTCTGCTCATAGTGTGGTGTAAATTATCTTGGAATCTTGTTCAAAGGCAAAAATCTCTGCCCCTGGGCAAGAGGCATCAGAGCCGGTGTGTGAACAAAAGGTCTAAGTGAGTCCTACCTGCCACATAAATTTCAGAAATACTGATCCAATCACATCTCAGTCCTTTTAGAGGATGAATTTTAAACTTCAGGACCTAAAGGAGAAGCATATACATGGAGAATAATTAATGACACACACACATTTCTTTATTTAAAGATCATGACATTAAAAAATTGTGGTTTTTGTCAATATAATTTTGCAACAGCTTCTCACATACATTTTAAAGAAAAATTACTTCCCTATGTGTGTGTATAAATTTTATAGTTTATTCTCTATTATAACCTCCTATACTGATCTTGAAAGTCTATAACCTAATTCTGCAGTTTTGATCACCCCAAATTTTTATTAATAATCATGGTCTTGTTTAGGTAAGATAACTGAGTTACTAATACTGAGAAATTTTAACACATACATGTCATAACTCTTGAAATTTTTCACTTTTTCTTCTACTGATGAGATGTTGCTGGAACACCACTGGGAAATATAATTACTTTATATAATCAAAGCTTACATGTCAGATTCTTGATCCTAATTGCTCCCTTTTTGTAAATGCACTCATATTCAGTTTATTTATTTGTAGGACTTTATGTTCTTTGAACATTCACTAGCTGGATTATAACAAGGAAGATGCCAGAAATAATAAAATATGCAGAACGTGTTTCAGTAAGTAAAAGGCAAATTTAAATGATCTCTTTCCCTTTCAAGATGTCTATATTTGACGCTATCTAATTCCTTTTCATTTTCTTCTAGATATCCCTTGGGCTCTGGATTTCATTTCTGAATAGTTTGAGTATTAGTTTTTGTAATAAATGTTAATCATAATATTTATTAAAGCATAATATAATGAGGTAATTATATAGTTGTGAATGCATGACAGCTAAATACACAATTACTGGCCTGAACACGAGGTTTCTTTGAGAGATTACCATCCTTTCATTTTATCCTTTTGAAGTTATTGCAATGGTAAGCATGAAAGATGAGAACTAGGGCTTGCAGTATCACTGATGAAAATCCAATGTGTAGAGAAGACTTTGAAGCTTTCCTGGTACTAAGGGTGGTTACTAATCAAGAGGACTGAATTTCTAAAATGCTTTTTTCCAAAAGCAGTCCCTTCTGAATTTGTTTATTAATTTTCTTATTGTAGTGAGATGTTGCACTTTATATTAGAAAAGTTAAAGGTTGAGTAAATAGTATGTTTATGAGAGTTAAGATTGATATTTTCAATTAATTCTAGTGTCAGGGAGCACACTTCTTTATTTAAAGATCATAACATTAAAAAATTGTGGTTTTTGTCAATGTAATTTTGCAACAACTTCTCACACACATTTTTAAGAAAAGTTACTTCCCTATGTACATGTATAAATTTCATAGTTTGTTCTCTTTTGTAACCTCCTATACTGATCTTGAAAGTCTATAACCTAATTCTGTAGTTTTGTCTGAGTTAATTAATATTTACAAAGAAAAGTGCACTTAAATAGCCACTCATGCCAGAGGTTTCAATAATCATACACAGACTTCTAAATTAGTAAAAGCAGTGTTATTTACAAAGAATTTTACCTAATCATAAGGAAATTTTAGCCCAGTAAGGTATCTAACACTCTGAAGATAAAAAAAATTGAAAAATTCTAGGCCTTAACAACAAGCAAACAAAAACCTGAATCCCTGAGAGAAATGTGGAAATAAAACAGCACAACAAATTAAATTAATTCTCTCTACCTTTTACTATTTTGGGAGTGCTCCCAGTTACTATACCCTAGTTGTCTACATGTTTCCAAAGCTCACACAAGATGAAGGTTCTTTTTCATGAATGAGAATAATTATTTCCTTTTTCAAAATTTGGTAAACGATCTCTTTTAAGCAGTCATTTAGGCTCTACAAGTCAATTGTTTGATATTAGGAACCAATCATCTCCTGGAAATAACACTGCATGTGGTAATTATATTACCCCAAGTAGGCCACAAGATCAGTTTACTTCTGGGTTCTGATGTAAGGATCTTATACTGTATAAAGGTGGAACAGAACAGAGCCTCTTTCCTATTTTCTAGTTCACTTTCGTAAACATTCTTTGTGTTTACTTTATGCCTTCACTTTTTCATGACAACCTCATTCGTTGTAATGTAGAAAATATGAGTAACCTCAGTCAACCATAAAAGAACTTTCACTTAGGCAAAATTGTTTAGATAGTGGCCACCAACAATAACCACGTTACACACATCACACAACTTATCTCCAAGTCATATTATGATCCCTTCAGTGATCTGCATGCCAGCATGCAGCCATGGAAAGGAACATAAGCCCTGTGTGTAATAGATGCCATCTTGAGTTCAGCTTTGCTGTTTGCTGGCCCTGCAACCTCACACTTGTAGTCTTTCAGGATTCCCATACTATCTATACTAAGGGACACTGTTGTAGGGAGTCAGCAATTTTTCCCTGTTTCTTTAGTTTATTTCAAAGAAAGTATGTGTGGTTTATACTCATTGGCAACCATTTAAGGAAATGACATTTTATAGCTGATGGGTATTAACTAATAAAATGGAGGAAAATTGTTGCTATACTTTGAGTTTTGATTCCTTCTAAAACTCATGCTAAAATTAATTACCTTGTAACAGTATAGATAGGAATTCTACAAATGATTTGATCATTGAGTGGTACTCTTGAGTGCAGATTTAATACCTTGTATCGTACTTGTAACCCCTTCTACTTTTGTACAGTTTTCCCCTCAAGAGTATGTAGTACTTATAAAATCAGCATCATCTTGGAAGTGGAGACTTTGCTTCTTATCAGGTACCAATATTGCTGTGCCTTGATTTTGGACTTCCCATCTTGCAAAACATGAGAAATACATTTCTATTCTTTTTGAATTTCCCATTCTTGGATGCTTTGCTATATAAGCACAAACAGATTGAGTCAATAACTAACTTTTCTGGGTAACTTAATAAATTCCAGGCACTGTGCTTTTAGAACTTGTGGTAGAATATGAAAATGAAATGATAAAGGAAAATTAGGCAGTTGGTTGAAGACTACCTAGGAAACTATTTTCCTCTCTTCAATCTGTACCTCTTCTTCATGTCCCAAATTCTTTTTCCTAAAGTTGATTCTGCTTTCGTATCTCCTGATTGTCTTTTATTTTTTTATTTCTAACATGAAAGATTCCTCTAACCAATGTCAAAACAGCTACAGCTAAGACTTTCACTTTAGTCAGCTTTCCCAATACTGGAAAAAAAAAACTTGAAATGCATAATTTAAAGGAGAAGTGGTTTAATTTGGCTGACAGGTTTTGAGGTTTAACTCTATGGCAGGAATATCATGATGGGAAGGCACAGTGGAGCAAATTCATTTCATGGTAGCAAGAAAACAGGGCACAAGAAAAGAAAGCCAGTGAGAGATGCACCCCCACGAAGGCATATCCCCAGTGACCCTTCCAATTAGGCCTAACCTCTTAACACCACATTAATCCACTGATGTGTATAGTGCTCCATGGTCAAATCATTTTTCCAGGGTCTCTTATTCTTGTCAAGGTGGCAATTAAGATTAACTGACACAAGTTCAACCCTTGGTGACTTGATAACTAATCAGATCTTGTTAAAATGTACTAGACTATGAAATAAACAAGTTAACTAGGTCACAATTCCACCTAACATAACTATCCAGAGTACAACCAAAAATATGATGATGATGCCTTCCCAAAAGTCTCAACAGTTAAACATAGCTCAAAATTCTACATTGAAGTCTCCTCTGAGACTAGTGACAAACTAAATTGAATGACCTATAAAAATAAAAACTTGTTACAAATATCCCAGATATAATGGCACAATATAAATATCCCTATTCCAAAAGAAAGAAACAGGGGGATAGAAAAGACACCAACAGAAGACCAAACCCAGCAGGGCAAAGCATTCAGTCCTGTAGCTGCATATTCAGAATCCCAGGGCACGTGTTTGTAAGGTGTGAGGTCCAGGGGGCTGGGGCTACCCCACCCCATGGCCGTGCCAGCAGCCATTCAGGTAGCTTCTCTTGAGCTAGCTGTGCTCATAGGCTGCAGCCATAAAATTGTTCCAGGTTCCTGGCACCTTTGAATTCCTTGGGTCTCCATTGCACCTTTGGCTTCATTCCCACACCTTCATACGCTTCCCTCTTGAGGAACACTGCACTTCCTTTGACCTTATTTCTGGGGTGTGTGTGTGTGTGTGTGTGTGTGTGTGTGCACACGCACACTCACGTGTGTGCTACTGGGGATTGAACTCCAGCCATTTGTATGGAGCTGTATTCCCCATCCACTTTATTTAATTTTATTATTTTATTTTACTTTACATTAAGACAGGGTCTTGCTAAGTTGCTTGTTTGCCCAGGCTGGACTTGAACTTAAAATCCTATAGCTTCAGCCTCTCAGAGTGCTGAGACTGTAATTATGTACCAACACACCCGGCTGACTCTATAACTCTCACATTCTTCCTGCCTGTATGACTAGCATCATGTGAATAATGCCAAGTCCTGCTACCAGCATGAGCAAAAGCCGCACCAACAAGAGCTATGGCTCCAGTGGCCTCTGAACTCCTGGATGTCTGAGTGTGGAGAAATGAATCCTAGAGAACCAATTTCTCAGTGGCCCTCCGTGAGCAAGGGGTTAAAGCTCTCTCATCTCTAATGAAGGGTTAACATGTTTGCTCCCTTGAGGCCTGTGATGGTAAGAATTTGCTGATTCCTGAGTTGCCCTCAAGGCATCTTTCTTCTTGCCTCAGTTTAAAGAATGGGTTACTTTTTCTATCAGTCAGTATTTATTAGAGAAACAGATATAATACAAGATATATAGAGATATATGAGAATTTACAAGATTAGCTTACAATAGCCACCCATAGGTTTGGATGAGGAAGAGTCAAGGGGCTCTGTCTGCACACTGGAGACCAAAAGATTCAGGTGTGGAGCTGACTGCAGTGTCCTGTGGGGCTCTGTATCAGGAGGTCAGTGGGTCTGCGATGGAAGCTGGAGGGCTGAAGAGTCTGTGCTAGAAGGTTGAAGCCTCTATGCAGGGAGGCTAGAGAGTCTGAAGCAGAAGGCACGGATGATATCCAAGGCAAACACGAGTTCCTCCAAAGGAACGAAAGTAGCTGCCTCCTTCTTTATTTCCCCTCTTTAACAATCGGGCAAGGAGGGGTCTCCCACACCCTAAGGTGTGGAATTGCCAAGCCAATTTAGCTAAGCTTCTCTTAGCCAAACCTCTCAAGTTGATGCAATTGCTCAACCACCACAATCCACCCTTTGTCAACTTGGCAACCAGAACAAAGATGAGTTCCCAATTATGCCTAACGCGCTATAACCATTCTGTGTACAAATGGAAACACACTAATTCCCTCCCAAGAATGGCAGGCAAGTTTCTTTGGGTAATGCTTACTCCTAACATCTCATAACTTGAACATGATAACAGGTTTAACAGTCCTTAAGAACCAGTATTAGAAGAGAAATAGTACAATTACAATCCTTGTTTCTGTAGCTGATCATGGGGTCATAGCTGGTATTTACCACTACCTTCTACTACCCATTCAGTATTCCCTTGGCCTTCAGAAGCACCTCCACCTGTCTTTGTTCTTTCCCTGCTGGAGTGACCCATTCCCTCATTCGTGAAGGGTCTGGACCAGTTATTATTTT